TAGTAAGCTGTCTCGAGCAGTCGTAGCACAGGACCTGCATGATCATGATAGAGTAGTGGTAATAGAATACATCTAGATTTAGCCCTTACCAAATGCCTGCATGGCAACACTACAGTTCTTGCAGGCCTTTCTAAACAGCATCCACAAGTGATAGACCCTTCTGGCAGCCGCGACCCAGAGGCGTGAGCGGCCTCTAATTGCTGTACTCGGAAGTTCAACTCATGCTTTATATCAGATAGGGCCTCTACTCGAGACTCCAATTCGCTCATCTCAACCTATTGATAATCAAAAGAAAGCTCTAACAGAGGATCGAACCAGGGACCTTTCTCACCCCAACCAGAGCCATATCCCTCTTGTGCTGTTCTTCCATCTCCTCCATCTCCCTTCTAAACCTCGTCTCCCTATCATTGTATGCGGCCTCCAACTGTTGACATCTATCACTAAGGAACTCCACCATTTTGCGCATAGCTCCAAGATCTTCCTCCTGTGCCTGCATAACACCTCATCAACCGCATAGACGACGGCAGCTGTGATGTCCTCAAATTATGGTAATGGATATCACCTCTCTCTCAGCCATCAACTCCCGTATTTGAACTGTCATGGCAGTGGGTTTAGTATGGCCATGATGATGATGAGTTTCAGACTCTTCCATGCTACATACTGACAAGGTGATAAGCAGGGATGACCCAACGCGACCTCGACGACGACAGGCTATAGAAATGGTCACTAAATTGTGGCGGTAAGATACGAAAATGTACAGTACTATAATAACATAGTGATAACTGAAATGATAATCACCAATAATTCTTAGATCGACGCCTGTGGACTTCTCTAGTGAAGGCCCCAAAGTCATAACGACGACGACGAGACACATCTTCGTATTCCTCATTCCAGAAGGCACCTACCCAATGACGATCGGGGTGATCGCTATCACTACTATTACCATTACCATCGGCATCAGTCCAGGAGGTGAATGCTGGTCGGGCCTCGGGAGGCTGATGATGGTGATGATACTGGGGTATTCCGCCGTATTCTTGAGGGATCCCTTCTGCTTGAGGTGCGAAAGCTTCATAGTAGACACAACCATCTGTAGAGTTGTTGTTGTAGTTGTTAGTGTTGTCGTAAGGAAAGGTATAGCTAGATGGTATCGGAGGTTCCACGCGACGATTTCTGAATCAATATGGTGAATGATAAGTGACAACACCTTGCTGTACTTACTCTTGCTGCGATCTAGGTAAAGGATTGTGAAGAGGAGGTAGCCAACTCGATACAGGCTCGTACAGAGCATCTGAATAT